CCAGCCTCACCCCCCCATTTCGGCCTTTTGCCATAATTGTGTAATTTTTTCACAATAAATATTGAATATATTTAACAACTGATATATTTCACTTGCATGTCGCTTCATGCATTACGTAATCATAAAGCGTAAACAGCAAACGCCGTTTTTGAAAGTTATCATAATCTGAAAAAGAATAATATCTATAGTTTTTTCTGATCTTACTAACGTCCAAATGTAGCTTTCTATGACACGTATTTATTTATTTAAATAACGAGAGTGTTTAAAGAAATACCAGTGAGAAAAGCCTCAGAACACTGCTTCAGGCAATGCAATAAGAAAATTTCATGACGGTGGACAATTAAAACCAACCTTGCAAATATAAATATTCTAGTTGACATTACAAAACCAGCATCTCTCATTCAACTGGAAAACTTGGCCTCGAGCAGATGTACTTAGAGTCAACATAAGAGATTGCTCATGAAACAAATAACGCCCAGAAGTATGGTTGAAAGCACTAGATCACGAAACATTTAGAAAACTTTTACATTCATTGAATCCGGACATACCTTCTCTTGCAAGTAAACAATAAAAACTAACTAAAAATGGTTTGAAAAACAAAAAAACAAAAAACAAAAACAAAAAACTTTCTAAACACACACACACACATTTATTTAAACAAGATTGACAAGGTACTTCTGGACTTAATGACTGCAAAACTTGTCCAGAAAAAAGAACAATTGTATGCATACAAGAGAAGTATAATAAAAAGTTAAACAAAACTACCTTATTAGTTATATCTAACGATGTATGTATTAAAGAAGGATTCCTACCCAAAATACACAACTATATATATATATATATATATATATATATATATATATATATATATATATATATATATGAAAATTTCTCTGATTTAACCAGTAGAGAAGACAATATTTTGCTTTGATAAAGTCCACATTGGACGAAACGCGTCAGCAATTACTAGTTTTCATATTGTCATATATATATATGGTATTATACAAAACTTCGGAGAATTTGAACAGCCAAATTCCCTGAACTGTTGGCTACCACCTCGTATATATGCATTAGGATTGAAATGAAATGGGTTAAATTTCAAATGGATCGGTTCTCCCGGGCGTGTAAAGTGCGTCACGTGGATGTGTGTTCGATTGGAAAAATGGTTATGTAAACGTAGGTCATGTGATTTGCTCTCGGGGTGTATATAAAGAATGACTTTATTCACGTTTCACCCACAGCTCGAAGTGTCCTACTCATAGGTATGTACATTTCTGCTTTGGCCTCCTGATTTTTCTTATTGTTTTATTCAGATTTCGTTAAGCGGCATAAATATTTATTATTTTTCTTTTTCAAGTTTCTCTAGTTTTTGTTTCTCTTCTTTTTGTTTTTTTTATTTTGCTTTTTTTGCCTTATTTTTTTTCTTGAAGTTTTCCTTTCTTTCCTTCTCTTATTCATATCTTTTTCAAAGTTCTTCTCTGATTATTATTATTAATTTCTTTCTCAATTTTTTCTTTCCTTTTCTTCCTTTATTTTTCTGAATTTCAGCCTTTGTTCTTTCGCTTTCTCGATTTTTATCCACATTTCTTCTTTCTACATCTTCTTCTTCTTCTTATGAATATTATTTTCTTTTTCAAATTTTTTTCTTCTTTTATTTTTCTCAATCTACTCCTAAGTTTTTTTTTCTTTTGTCGATTTCTCGATATATATTCATACACTGAGGTGCAAAAGGTTTTGGAAAACTACATAAAATGATTAAGAAGTTAAGATTGTTTAGCAGTGTGCTTTTATCAGTAGTTTCCGTGGATCTTGAGGATTGGAAAAATAAGTTGTCGCATTTTCATGGGTGCCTGTAACAGAAGATACAGTGCTTTAAGCTTGACGCTGAAAAAGGCCATGCAAAAGTATTGGGCCAATTAAAAATCTGAGATAATAAGGTAATATGTACATTTCTAAATAGGAAATGTTCCATTTTATTTACATGAGTGTAAGGTGGCTTGGCAAGTCACCTTACGTTAACACTGAACATTGATCATTACCTTACTTTTTACACTAAAATCATTGCTTGAAGAATCTGACTTTGAGGGGAAAGATGATTCAATGAGAGATAACAAGGCGGCTGGGATTTTGCAGAAATAGTATTCAAACCACACAAAAGACGTTTGCTCACGACTGGAAGACTTTTAAATACAAAGTAAACTGAAAATCCACAAACGCTAGACAAGGAAAATGAAAGAAGTATTGTGAAAGTCTCGGCGGCAGGCAATCCAAAATCAACATCCGGGCAAGTGAGTTTTAAGTTGATACAGTATTACGATAAACAACTTGAATGGGAGTACAGCAGCAAAAAAACAAAAAAAAAAAAAAAACTAAAAAAAACAAAAACAAAACAGAAAAAAACAAAAAAAAAACAAGGCAACAAAAACATCGATAAAAAAAAAGAAAAAAGAAAAACCTCAGAATAGAAGATTGATATGGTCGAAAGAACATCTAACATTTGATGATGGAAAGTGACAAAAAGTTAGTTTTAGTGATGAATGCAAAATAGAATTGCATTCTCATGCAAGAGTATGTAATAAGACCAGTGGGAGAAAGAAACAATGCAAGATATAGACAAAAAAGACAGTAACATTTGAGGGTGGATAGTAATGGCCTGAAGTCGCATCAAAAGAGGTGGTAGAAAATTGGTTAATGATGATGGAAATCTAAACAGTAAAATTATATTAGTTTATATGGCTTAATCTTCTGCCAGACTACGAAAAGAAGAAAAATTTTCAGCATGATGTTGCCCCTAGCCTCAGATTACGTGCAACATAAAAGGTTACTTGTGGAAGATTGACTTACACAATCTCAACTGAATTATTGTGTTGGGAAGAAAAGAAACAAGTGGTCCAAGAAAAAGCACACAATCTCCAAGAATTTTGAAGAATACTGCCAAAAAATAATGGTGAAACATTCTCAGTGAGAAAATCTGGATCACTTTTCATCCGATGCCACCTCGAACTGAGGTAGTTATTTGAGCCGAAGGCAGCAACATTAATTACTAACTCCATATTTTCACGTTTTGTACTTTCTGTAATAATAAACATCACTTTTTGCAACAAAAAATCCTTTTTAACTTAAGAAAATGCTATTGCTCAATATTTTTGCCCGGCCTTTTTTCAGCATCATGATGTTTCATATGCTCTATTATTCACCATAAATTATTCACCATAAATTATTCACCATAAATTATTATAAAAATGCAAGTAACTTGTTTTTTGGCGCACTTATTAAAATGAATAAAATAATTAATTCACCAAGGCGGCCAAAATATTTTACACATATACCATTGTCTTTCTTCTTTCTAGATCTTCTTGTTCTTATCAACCCTTTATTGTTTATTTACCCATTTGCCTCTTTCTTTCTAAAACTTCCCTCGTTTTATTTATTTTATTTGCAGTTGACTTATATCCTTATCTATGTTGTTACGGTCACAATGTTTCTGTCGTTTAAGGCTCCGAGTATTAGCTCCAGGATTGTTCTAGTGTAGAGGATTAAACATTGATTCGTGAGCATTGGTTTGTAATCTTGATAGCATAGTATTGGTGAATTCAATGCTTATACCGGGAAGCACAGACTTAAGATCATTGGAAACATGTCTAGTAATAACTGATATTCATTGATATATCTCTATACATCGGAAAGACATCCCTGGAGATATTTCTAGGCCAGGACAACGGGACGAGAACAATATATACTCATAGAATAAATTAATGGTTCAATTTCCCGAAGATTACACGGATCAACAAACACCTGAAGAAGTGATAGCAACAACAACGACAACAACAGCGATAAGGAATTTGCTCGACTTCAAATAATGTAAATGACAATAAATGCTGTTTTTCTTTACAGGTGTCATTCATTCTCTTCGATTTTGAATTGATTTTTGAAAATATAAATTCGTAAAATGGAAGCCATGAATAATAATCTTAAGGAGAACGACTCTGAAATGTACGATTTAATGGCGAAAGAAAAACTCCGACAGAAACAAGGTCTTAATCTTATTGCGGCAGAAAATTATACAAGCAAAGCCGTTCTGCAAGCCCTTGGTTCATGCTTAGGAAATAAATACTCCAAAGGAAGACCTGGGGACAGGTAAGTAATAGAAACCTCTTTGTTTAGGCGTCAGAACATTTAATTAACACATTAATGATCATCGTTAAATCGGGTAACCATTATAAAAATGAAATTAAAATCCGTTATTAATTATGTGTTTCTAAACAGTTATTAGTTATAAGTTTTTAGAAATCCAATATTAATTTTCGATTTTTAAATATAATCTATTACTATCCATACTTGGTAAATGGGACGGTGAGCATTAATGGCTAAAATCTTTTTCGGGCTGTTCCATACGAGAACGAATGGCTTAAAAAGACAATATCTTATATTAAATTTACCACAGGTTCATGTAATTTGAAGAATGAAATAACTTCTTTACATACGCGCGCGCGTACACACACACACATATATATATATATATTATGAAATGGATTAAATTCGAGAATTATATTATTTAATATATTTTCTGTTTATACGATAAATTGTATCAATTAAAATAATGTTTAAACAGAAAATACATACATATATATTATATATTATATATATATATATATATATATATATATATATATATATATATTAGGATAGAAAATGTTTCCTCAGGATATTAGGATAGAAAATGTTTCTTTAATTTTCTGGTTAAGTGCTTTCGAGTGATGTGAGAATCGAGAAACGCTCGATTATCTTGAGAGATTTATCCATTTAAGTAAATATTGTTTGCTTACATTGTTTTTTTTTTTTATCTCTCTCCCCCCTCTCTCTCTCTTTCTCTCTCTCTCTATATATATATATATATATATATATATATATATATATATATATATATATATATATATATATAAAGATAGATAGATAGATAGATAGATAATTTCATCTGATGTTTGGTCAGGTTTTACGAAATGGGCGTGGTAATAAATTTTAAACAACCAACTCAAATCTATCTATCTATCTATCTATCTATCTATCTATCTATCTATCTATCTATCTATCGTGTGTGCGTGTGCGTGTTTACCATCGTCTTGCCCATCAAAACTCACCCACTCTCTCCCTCCCTTTCATACACATATATTAGAATATCTTTAGTGAGATCAACGAACATGCTCTGACTACTTAATTTGAATATAGACAGTCGAATATCAAAATCAAATTTATATGGAAATTATTCAAATTTCATAATGTTTCTGATCGAGTCCTAATATTATCTTTTGCACGGGAGAATGATTTTATTAATTTCATGTTTGTTTTTTATTATGTAAACACGTTCTAATTCTCATCAAAATATACGTGTATCGAATGCAAGTGACATGATGGGTAAAATGGATTATAACTGTATGTAAGGGATATCATCATCATCATCATCATCATCATCATCATCATCATCATCAATCCTATGACCGGGTGTATTCGTAGGGTCCCTGCGTAATTGATCCCCTGACTACCTGCCGCCAAATTTATCGGTTGCAAACGAATGTCTGAGTCTCTGCAAATGATTTTCTAGTCCAGTCATTGCGTTCGCAGTCCATTTCCCCTCTGTTTGCCGCTTCTTATTTTACCCCAAAATAGAGATATTTGGCATTCATTGATCGAGCAGCCAGTGCTAATTTTGGTTAAAATTTATAAAATCTTTCTATTAAAACATTTCTTCAGGAAAATACTTTTTTTAAGCCCAGTAACTGTTATCGCTCTTTCCAGTATTGATGGGGGTTTCCTTCCTTACCTTTTGTTTGAAGTAGTCTGGAAAGTCATCATTTTGATCGCATTATTTTCTCTTCAAGTTACATGTGCTATCCACATGAATTATTGCTGTCGTTGAAAGTCCTCAATGTTATTTGGTACATATCTTCGTTTGTGGTTCTGTGTTGTCAGTTCATGAAGTTCGAAGAAAAATGATTCTTGCTAAGACGTACATGATTCACTGGCTCGAAGCCATTTTTAATCACAGATTTGAGAAAGCCGTTGTATACAGCTGACATTTTAGATATTTTTTTAAACGAGTTTGGTGCCATATATCGCATCTATATAAATGCCTCGATATGACAAGGTTATTTATAAATAAGACTTTTTCTTTTTAGGTTGGTGTTTTAATTTTATAGCAACTTGCGGTGGTGTTCAAAACTACTTATAGCACAAAATATACTGTTCAATTTCATTTATCTCCTATTTTAGATGTATAATAACTGATCAATAACCCGAGGTAGTATTTACTAATTCCACATTCTGAATTTTTCATAATGGATTTAGGGAACGTGTCACCCCTGCTTCCATTCGAATTCCAAATCATAGTTTGTGTCTTGGAAATGTTTATATTGTCCTATTTCTAGGTAGAGGATGTTGATTTTTGTTCAAGATCATTCTTATCCCAACTATAAGCACCTATGTCATCGGCATAGTCCCCATTCATCATTCGTACACTGGCTTCGGAAGGGAAAGCAGGGACGCTGTTTTCTATTAGTAAATTTGTTTGGATGTCATATGGAATGCTTAAATGATCAGTGCCAATCTCTTCACATCAGTGCTTGTATATGCAGAGAGCATAGTCTAGCAAAAGGTTAAATCGACTGGTGTTCTCATTTTCTTCTTGTCGTACTACAGATGAGGTTTGAAATATTTCGTCATTAGGATGTCCACCAAACATGTACAACTTCGTAGAGCGATAGAGTCCCTCTATCAGATCTTGACATTCAGTGGAGTCATTGCTTGGAAGACTGTTTCTAATGAATGAGTCGAGAAAGTCATATACTGCTGTGAAGTCGACAAAGCAGGTATACAATTTTCTATTGGAGAGGCAAACAATCTTCTGATATTGTTTGATGACATATATATTATCTTAAATCTCTGACCAGAACGTAAACGAAATTGGGTTGTAAGGAGAATGGTGAAAATCTACTTAATACACTGTTCATTAGTATATTTCATCATAATGGATGCAATTGAAATACATTTGTATGTGTGAGAATCTTGAGGATTACCTTTTTGTTTCCATAGAGCATTAATGCGCGATTTGTCCGACTGCTTTTGGAACGATTCTGCTTCCAGAACTTCCTTCATGAAACTGAGTAGCTTGTTTTTAAATTCGAAAGAATGTATGTTATTTTCGTAAATTCAGAATCAATATCAAGTGCTGCTTTATTACTCTTTTTATTGTTTTTTTTTTTACTTCCCCATTACTATGATCGTTGCTGTTTACGTTTAGAGACAGACTTTGTAATGCTGGGATATATACTGGTGTAGATTCTGTTTCCGCAAGCATATTCATCTTAGTGTTGTCAGGGTTGAAATGTAAGGCGAAGTGTTTTCTGAGACCAGCACATTTCTTCTGTTTTTAGCTTCGATTGTATGAGGGTATCGTGATTTTCTTTTAATTTTTGCCACATAATATATGCCATTTAACCTCATTAATTTGGTTTCCATTTTTCCGAAGATTTTTGTTTCTCAGAGCATATTTTATGACAGAAAAATGAAAAACAAATGGCAAAACGAAAAAACAAGAAAAACTCCTATGTGACACGTTTTGTGCCGTACACACACACAACTCTCTGATATATATATATATATATATATATATATATATATATATATATATATATATATATATATGTATGTATGTATGTATGTATGTTAACTCAAAATGCCATATCGCCTACACAAATCTACGCCAAAGGATTCCCTTTTCTGTAGAGAGATAAGCGAAGCAGCTAGAAATCACACATGTACATAAATCTACAAACATTTTAAATAAGTCTGTTTCCTGGGAATCATCCACAAAGCTCAACTTAAACTCATCTATTTACACTATTTACATTGTTCAGACAGTTATCCTCAACTTTGTTGTCAGATTCACGCCGATTCGTTCGTTGTACGCTCCGGCCTTCTCCAGATGTATAGAGTTTCGTTCGAAACCTTTATTTTGCCCACCGGCTAGATTGTTCTAGTCCCACGTGCTATGCCTCTTCTGGATATCTCAGTTTCAGTTATCTCCCTTTAAATCAACTCCCTAACTTTTTGTACACCTCTGCTGTTGGGAATTCACAACATTTGAAAATTTTACCAGCATTATTGAAAGTTTATTAACTATATTTATTGTGACTAATTACTAAAACACTGATAAAATTTAGACCATGAGATACGATCTTCAAAAAGGGCACGACAATTCATAAGCAATATTCTTTTTAAATAAAAGTCATTTTTGAGAATCCATTGTACTAATTAAGTGGCATGTTTTAATTTTTATAATAAATGACAAATCCTATGCATTTATGAAAAAAATCATTTAGTGATATTTACGTACGAATTATATCTTGAATGACGTCTTCATCTTGTTTTTGGATGCGTATACGACTTACATGAGAATAAATTTATGACATGTTTTGGAAAACTATTATTAAGTTGTGGCAAACGCGCATTAGTAGACGTAAAAGATCGCATGCGGACATGTTTATCAACACCAGTTACATCCGGGTTTTTCCTGTTGTCAGCAGGACAGTTTGGCATATCTAGCTAGATACGTGTCTCTCTGAAACTGGTCAAGATCATGCCAATAAAAGCTGAAGAAAAATCAACAGTCGGCAAGACACGGTGTCTTATGAAGTCCGTCACGTTGGCATTTTTGCTTCTCAAGTTGCTGTGGTTTCCGAGGAAGTGTTATTTTTTGTTACCTCCCGTGTCTTTACCCTCTCTCCCTATTATCCCCGTAGTTGTTAGAAGAGCAATCGGTTAGGTATTTCCGCCCAATCTCAACAGACTCTTTGCTTACATTGTTACATAAATGTTTCTTTTATATTGTATCAGATTTTATTATATAAGTCAATATTTTCACAATAAAATTGCTATTAAACAACCGATTTTGGCAAAGCTTTTTGGATATATTTCTATGTAGATAAGCAATATATCATGTGAATTTCCACTTATTCACTCTGGTTGTCTTCTAAGTCGTGTTGATTGACTGATTCTATGAAAGATCCAACCTTTTGATCAGCCACCAGCTTCATTCAGTGTAGCATTACATTTGTCCCTAAAAATTACTGGTAAGAAATAATTTTCATTTGGTTCTTCGCCCATCTTAAACGTTTCTCTTTCCGATGTTTACTTGAGGGTAGTAATTTGTTTACTTTCATGTCTTTAGCGAAAGTTATGCTAATCCAATAGTAAATTTATAGTTCATCATGATTCAAACCAGTTTATCTAAGGTGCATAACACAAAACCATTATAATACATATAAAATATTTGGTACATTCGTTTTCCGCTGTCGTCAAGCTCTATGAAACCGTTCAAAACACGATTTCACTTATACGTTAAGCGGGTGTCTTTCATGTCACTTGGCTAAATAAGTCTACATGACAAATTTATTGAAAAATGGTCCAAGATATTTGGGGCTTCAGTGAGAAAATATCGGGAAAAGCTGATTTTTTATGATAAAAGTAGATTTATTCTGTGTTAATTGTACATCTTTTCAGGTATTATGGTGGCAACGAATTTATCGATCTTATAGAGCTTCTGTGCGAAAAGCGGGCGCTGGAGACTTTTCGTCTATCTCCAGACAAATGGGGTGTAAATGTGCAGCCGCTGTCTGGTTCCCCAGCTAACCTTGCCGTCTACACGGCTGTTGTCGGGCCTCACGGTCGTCTTATGGGATTGGACGTTCCCGATGGTGGTCATCTGACACACGGCTTCATAAACTTAAAAAAGAAAATGTCGTCGTCTTCGATTTTCTTTGAATCCTTGCCCTACAAAGTCAACCAGAAAACTGGATTCATTGACTATGACTGTTTGGAAAAAAACGCTCGACTTTTTAAGCCGGAGCTGATCATAGCAGGTTTGTTTTTTTTTAATTTTTTCTGAATTTTCTGAATTAATCCTTTGTTTTCAGTGACAATTCTACAATTTAAATTTTTGCGGAGTTTTTATTTCGTCGTATTTTGTTGTTTTATTGCAGCCCTCAGGTCACTTTTTATATTCTACGATCGTTTAGTAAGCGGTATGGATTTGAAATAAAAATGTAGGTTCAACGTGATTTCAATTCGCATCTTATATCTTTGAGAGCACGTCTAACACCTTGTAATCTGGTGTTTACTTAATGGTCGTAGAATGTATAAAATCATTGCAAATGTTTCTGCCCGATTAGAAAATTAAAAAATTTTTTTTACATACTCACAAAAAACATTTATTACTCAAGTACATTATCTCCATTGTTTTTAACAACTGTCTCCCATCGTTCTACAAACTTGATGCTATATTCGTAGAAATTCGTGTTTTTCGTTTGAAGAAGGTTGTAAGGTAGATTTCGACTAAATGTAATTTTTTTCGACTATCTATCTATCTATCTATCTATCTATATCTATATATATTATGAAATGGATTAAGTCCCATAATTATTTAAATATATTTTCTGTTTATACGCTATTTTTATAGATACAAATATTTATGTAAATGCTCTGTTTATAATAAACAGTATTAACTACATTTACCGGTCTGAATGTCCGAGAAATTTCATAGAAAATATGTGCCCTCCAACAGGAATCGAACCTGTATCCTACACGGAACCATGTTATAGCCTGACGTGCTACAGAGGAAGTGCCTGGTTAGTCAAATTACTGTTTTTTTTCTCAAACACTCATAGCACGTCAGGCTATAAAACGGTTCCGTGTAGGATACGGGTTCGATTCCTGTCGGAGGACACATATTCTCTATGAAATTTCTCAGACATTCAGGCCGGTAAATGTTGTTTAATACTGTTTATTATAAACAGAGCATTTACTTAAATATTTATATCTATAAAATTAATGTTTAACAGTGTGTATATATATATATATATATATATATATATATATATATATATATATATATATATATTATATATATATATATATATCCAAGCATTCGAAGAATTTGAACATCACATGTGTAAGTGTTAAAATCATTTTTTATGGCCAAATATTCCGTAGAACTTTACTGACTCACAATGGATATTATTTAGAAAGGACAGCAGCAAATGCCTGTATCTGTATTACATTTAATTTCCGAACTGTTCAAATTAACTGCAATTTTCAGTAGCAATGGCGGTGATGAAAGGTTCTCAGCCCAATATCCCTTATATCCCATGAATTATGAAGGTTTGGTCAGATTTTGGCAATCTGGTTGAACAGAGAACTTTTTAACACTCTTCGAATCTATCTATCTATCTATCTATCTATCTATCTATCTATCTATCTATCTATCTATCTATCTACATGTGTATGTATGTGCAAAGATTTATATGTGTCTGACTAATCTTTTTTTTTTCAGGGGCTAGCAGTTATCCCCGCCATTTGGATTATGCTCGTTTCCGTAAAATAGCCGATGAAGTAGATTGTCTTCTAATGGCAGACATGGCACATATCAGTGGTCTTGTTGCAGCTGGAGTTATCCCAAGCCCCTTTGATCATTGTGATATTGTTACTACCACCACCCATAAATCCTTGAGAGGACCCAGGGCTGGAATAATTTTTTACAGAAAGGGTATGCTTTTTTCTCTCTCTTTATTAATTTTTAATTTGACCCTCATAGAAAATATCCGTTGGAATATAACTAGCGTAATTCTCTGTAAATTCATGCTGAAAAAAGAAAACAAACAAAAAAAAAAAAAAAACCAACAACAAAATAACCCCCCCCACCCCAAAAAAACAAAAACAAAATAAAACAATAAAAAACAAGCAAACTCAAAACACAATTTTTTTGTTGTCGGTACCCGCTCGCATGCGGGATTGCCATCATTTTTTTTTATTATTGTTGGTGCTAAAAATAAATATTTGAGAGACAAATAATAAAGGAAGAAATTCATTACTGAACAAACAAACAAAAAAAAAACAATAAAAACGTTACGACTTGAAATTTTTTTCCTACTTGAAAATACGTCCTCATCTATAAAACATGTTACGTTACTACAATCAATAAATAAGAAAAGGGTGACACAATAAAATTATTGGCAAATATTTTTTAAAATATTTGAATAATAACTTATAGGTGAAGAAATCGACGATACTGAACTAATAGTCAATGATAAACAAAACAAACATTACGACGCGAAATTCATTTCCTACAATTTTTCAAAATGGCGTCCTCTTTCATAAAAAAGAGAAATGTTACGCATAAATATAAATATAGAATTATTCATGTCAGTGTAAAAAAATGCAATGCATTAAATGTTCCTAATATAACAATTCCTAGTGATAATAGACTTTTTAATAAAGTAGTTAACTTGCTAAAACACTTATTCAAAAAACAAATCGACTTAAAAATCATTTTAATAATTAAATGTTCTAAATACATAATAATATAACAAAATTACAATAAAAAAGAAAAATATAATAAGAAAATGGATAATTAAAAACTTCCCTTTTTTTAAATATAACATTACTTTCTTTGAGCAATGAAAATATACATTTGTTCACTCAGACATCAACGTCTATAATAATAATAATAATAATAATAATAATATTATTATTAATAACAATACGTGAAAATGTTGGCAACATTGTTTTCCGTTACTGCCGGGAAACCGTTCTACACATGATGTCACTCACACGATACGCGTATATTTTTTGGTTCCAAAAATGCCATCATTTAGCCAGCAAAATCTAATCTACAATATTGAAAAGATCGACTTCTTGATAATGATTAAGACGCTATATAAATTATATATTTTGGACGGTTCACAATTTTGAATCGGATGTACAAATTTATTCGAAAATAGGAAAAATACAGTAAATATTAAACAGACAGACGTTGTCGGTTGCATTTAACAAAAGGTGTTTAAATAAATTCTTACTATCTACACACACACATATATATATATACATATATATCAGTAATTACTCAGTACCGGCAACTTGTGACCGATATGTAGTAAATCTACATAAAAAAAGAATAAAACATTTTGCATTTTATGCATAATAATCAGAGTAACCTTCATAATTTTGTTGGTTTAGGTGCAGATTGTGGCACAGAAAGAAAATGTAGCTGCTGATCTATTTTATTCAGAGTAGTCACTGCCTATCTTGCCTACCAAGAGGGCACGATCATGATATATATATATATATATATATTGAAAAAATGGATTAAAATCGACAAAATGATTAAATAAGGAAGAAGTAATAAAACCTTTATAATTTTTTATAAAATTTTATAATTTTTTCATAAAATATGATGAAAAGCTCTATCCTTGATATTAAGCACTAAAGAATATAGCAAATTTTAAACAATATAATTATATGTGTGTGTGCCTTTGTGTTTACCTCCCTACGCGGGTCCCACCCGGTCATATATAATTCATGTAGAGACAAATTACATGGCAATTATAATTTTTGAAATGTCTACTGCTGATAATTATTGCCAATAACTTAGTTGTAAGTCATTCTATTCTTGGAGGGTTCAAGAAGTTTTCAGGAAACCTATAATATTTATAAACAATGCATGGTGACTGGCATTTTCACACCTTAAACAATCATCAGATAGTTCGTGTCTACATATCCTCTATCATCACTATTATGCACTCTTCCCCCATAAATATAACAAATTTTAAACAACGTGTCTACATTGATGTGCCAAAAGTCAGGGGATATCAGTAAAGGTTATGATAGGTGGTGCCATTGTACATTGACGTCATGGTAATGCCCAGACCTGTATCAGCTGTGTTTTGACATTTGGTGATTCTGGTGAGTCTGTACATGACAACTATGAATTATTAGTTTTAACATGTTCATAACATTAGATGTCGGACATGTCTATTTCTTAAATTGTGGGTAATTTTGACATCCCTCAATCTATGTTGTCACGTGCGTAGCCGGATTACCGGAATTACCGTACATCCTAGACAGTCGTGAATGATATGCAAGACTATTTTACGAAGATTCTGTTGTTGTCTTTATAAACATTTTAATATTTTTTTTATTGTTTTATTCCTTCAGGCGTAAAGAAAGTGCAGAAAGATGGGACCAAAGTTATATTTGATCTGGAGGGAAAAATAAATGAAGGTGTTTTTCCGGGTATTCAGGGTGGACCCCATAACCACCAAATTGCAGGTGAGGCGTTTTGTGGATAGCGTATTTTGGAGTTAGCGTTAGGAAACAAAGTGCCGTCAATGAAGCACTTGCTCATCTTGCTAGAGAAAGTGTTTTTGAATAGCAACTGTCTGAATTCGGTTCTCATTGAGCGTTCAGTAAATATGACTATGTTCCAGAATAGGTTTTATTTAAATAAATCTAATTAAGAATATGTAAAGAAAATAGAAATTTATAAATTATGACGACTGTTTTTTGATACATCGATCACTAATTAATGGTTATGTCGAGTTCTGTGGTGAACGCACGTAAGTACATACGCAATAATAGCACCGAATCGCGTGTGGACATGTGTGTCAAAATCAAGTACATCCAGGTTTTCCCGTTAGCAGCTGAACAACTTGGCATATTCATATACGGGCCTCTCTGCAACTTGTCTGGATTTTTTGTCAACTGTCTCCTGTCAATAAAAGCGACGGGAAAACCAGCAGTCAGCAAGACTCAGTGTCTTGTGAAGTCGGTCCAGTGGGCATTTTGGTCCTAAAGTTATTGTGCCTTCTGTTTCAGTGTCATTTTGTTACTTCCCGTCTCTTTCCTTTCTCTGTCCATTATCCCCGTAGCGGTTGGGGGAGCAATCGGTTAGATGTTTTCCCCAACCTCAATATACCCTTGCCGTATTTTACAACAAGTTCAACAAGACTTTATGCGGATCTGTATCTTTAATCTTACAGGCCTTTTTAATTATTATGTTTCTATATAAAACCGTTAAGCTTTTCTATCTATGATTAGAGTGTAGTATCTGCTCGATATTAGGTCCGTCTGGGCTATAATTAGTTACGTTGACGAAGAAACCTACATAATGGTATTAAGCAAGAAGGAATTTGGAAAAATGAAGGAAAAGAGAAGGGGAGGAAAGTTAGATGGAATTTCTTCGTCAGAAACCAATGTTATAGCCTTTTCTCTATTATTCCGATAAATAGAACCTCAGGATTTAAAAATCGTGTTTTATTTATATTTTTAATACGAGCGATGACCACGTGGTGGTCGTTAACACATTGACGACGTTTTTTAACTTATAAGTTCTCACCAAAAATTTCGAGTTCATGCCTGCGTTTATTGCTGCAATAAAAAAATGGGACGGGTAAAATTATGGTAAAAATGTGGATACCGGAAATAATTTGTGAAATCCTCTTCCCAGTTATTTAAATTAAATGTGACGATTTTCAAATAGGGTATGATTTTCAAATGATTCAATAAACACAAAGTTCAACTCTAAAAGCTGCATTTCTGCATCGAGTAGATTTAGATCTATCAGTTTCTACATTTAGCTGCATCTGAAAGTTGTATTTTTACAGGAAAGCCTGACCTACGTAGAGCAGGTCTTCAGCCAGTTAACAACAATAGGAAATACTCCATTAACCTTTGATATAATTCCTTTACCTTTAAATCGTGGCTTCAGACAATGAAGAGAATATTCCAATTTAATTTATTTTTAAAAGATTATTTTGCTTTCATTTTCCAGCAATAGCTGTAGCATTGAAGCAAGCCCAAACAGCCGAATATAAAATTTATCAATCCCAAATTCTGACGAATGCGAGGGTGTTGGGTAACGAACTCTTAACTTTGGGATACACGTTATCTTCAGGTAAGAACTCGTTCATATATTTATCGAGCAGGAATTACGGCTTCTTCACGGAATAAGAAATAAAATCGTTCATATATGAAATAATGTGAATTCATTGACCAAAAATGTCTCACAAATACAGTGAGTTTAATCCTTACGAAGCGCATCAAATTTATTGCCTCATGCCAGACTACGGAAAATTTAGTAAATCCCTAGAAATGACTCTCATAGCGTGATACCTAGTATTCTTATCTTGTAAATTAGTTTGCAGCACATTTGAGTTCGATATTTTTTGGATACGTTATATGTGCTTTTGTTTCATACTAAGCTAAGTAATATCGATAAATTCAGTAATAATAATAATGATCAAACAAATTCACTTGCTCTTCAGCAGCGTTATTAGGGTACAGTAAATCCTTCGTCAATTCATCAAAATGAATCACTTTCGATATACGTTAGTATACTGTAAATCTTTAAATAAAAAAAATCAAACATCGAGCATTAATTGCCGCCATTTGCACAATGACTGTGTGTTTCAGCTCCGAACAGTCGTTCGTTATTTTGAATTGTAACAACAAAATACGAGATTCACTATTTTATTTCCTTACAAACAGGAACCTACTTTCCTGCAATCAATTAATTTTAAGTTTTTACTAACATGGTCATACCAGGTGAGTCGCAATTCACACATACACCTGATTATTTATTCCAAAATTTAACTAGAGATATCAAGATTGCTGTTGCGGAGGAGGAAGTGAGTAACCTGGAAAGTAGAATCTTGTTGTTTATACTGTTGTGGGGGTTAATTCCTTCGCCGCCTCGGCAAGCGTAAATGCAAGTAAACTGAATACGTTGAGTATGGGCAAATAATTTATTTACAAAACTATACAAAACTAGTAACTTTCAACAGGGAAAGGGAATAGTGAAATTAGAAATGAAGTAGACATTGGTAATAGCTGTCATTGTCGGTGGAGTTTCTCTCTCTCAGCGCGTCGGCGTTGACATCAACGTTGGTTTGTGTCAAGTCCCTCTCACAGCGTGGCGGTGTTAACATCAAACGCTGGTTTCGTGTCTGTTTAAATTTGAGAATATATAGCCGTCAATCGGCTGCAAATTAAAGTTTTGTTTTTTGGAGTGGGAGTGGCTTTGACTTGTCAACATATAGTTCATTTTATTTTGGTTAAAGCGGATGTATGCCTGGAGCCTATGTGCAGAAGACATATTTACTCAGTCTGAGTAATCGAGCGGTTTGTGTAGAAAATGTAAGAGGCACGACAGTGCGTATTAAAATCATTGGACACATAACCTCTTTTTTCTCTGTATTTTTGTCTTTTTAGGAGGTACCGACAATCACTTGGTCTTATTAGATCTGCGACCTCTTGATCTTGACGGTGTCCGCTGCGAGAAGGTGTTGGAACTAATAAATATTTCAACTAACAAATGTGCTTATCCGACGGATGAAGACGCCTTGAAACCCAGTGGCCTTCGTTTGGGAACTCCAGCCCTCACATCTCGTCAAATGAAAGAAGACGACATCAGAAAAGTGGCTCAATTCATTCACCAAGGTTGTTTTTTTTTCTTCAAACTTAGGCCTCTCGATACCCAAATAGAGTTTTTGAAATAGTTTTTTAGCAAGTTTAATTACAACAATATAAAAATAATACCTTGGTATTAAAGCTAAATATAAATAAAAACAAAACCTGTTTCAGAATAGATAAAATATAGTGTATACTAGAAATTTAAATACGTACCTATAAAATTTGCTAGATTTGTATAAAAAATTCTAACTAGTTACTTAAAACTAAAAGTAAAACCCAATCTTATACAGTTTAAAAAGACTGGACTAAATCCAGGGAAACAACTCAAGTGAAAATCCTCATAAATATGAATTTATTAATCAAAATAAAGTCAAAATAACTGTTTAGATTGGGCGCCTAATTTTTGTAATATTGCTCCCCCAAATCATCTTGCTTCTGTAAAAAAATCGTCTTCCAAGTTATTGCTAAAGCGGAGTTTGATACAGACGAGATTCTCAAGAAAATTTATCAGCGTCTTGTTTCAACACAACTGAGTTATTCCCCTTAGGAGTAGCTGTTCTAGACTCGAAGCCAATAACTGAAGCTTGGTACTCAGCGTCTCCCATTTACATCTCTATGGCAGTAACTTTCGTAGAGGGCACCATACAATTTCTAGGTGATTATCAGGTGTGCGTTAATTACCTTACATAAAATACCTTGTGTCAAATTTGTCTACGAAGAGTAGCAAATAAATAAATTCCTATCAGTCAAACATTCAGACTGAATTTTCGATAAATAAATTTAGGTATATTCAATAATTCGCTGAAAAAACAGCATAGACTTATGAAAAAAGGCCCCAGACTTAATAAAAACAAAGTTTTATCGCCAAAAGTTTATGTTATTATTAAGAGGAAAGACCAACATATTTTAAAAAAATTTTAAATCCTTTCTAGCACGTTTAAAATTTTGGTTGAAAATCTATTTTTTTTTTTACGTCAGCGGTCACGTAATATTTAGTATTAGTTTTTTTTTAGTGCTTCTTCCAGTTGAAAAACACATTAATTTGGCAATTTTTGAAAAACCAAATAATTGTCTGTTTTTAATGAAACTTTCAGAACTTATTAAAAAATTAATGAAATTATTTTAGAAAAGTTTGTTTAACGTCATGGTAAAAAAAAATTTACATCTATTATCCATCTTAATTAATTTCATGAAAACTCAAAAATTTGAATATGTGTACTTTTGTAATTTTTAATTAAATACAGTAGACTTTGAAGAATATATAAATTTTGTAAATCAATGAACGTTTTTATCCAAAATTTAGCTCTGAATTGTAAAATACAAAAGTAAAACCCAATAAAACTAAGACATTATTTAATTAGAAAACCGTTTAATGGCTTTTATGAATAAAATATGTTAAGGACATTATTGTCTAAAGCCAAAATTGAAAAATGAATTTTTAGAAGAATTGTCTATTCTATTTTTTTAGGCATCAAAGTGGCGAAAGAAGTGGCTTCTAAATCTCAGCCGTCTATTGCCGCTTTTATGAACCTGCTTGGAAATGACTCTGCCATACAAGAAAGACTGAAATCTTTAAAAGAAGAAGTAAAGAATTTTGCTGAGAGCTTTCCTTTGCCCGGATTTGATGACATTTAACGCAGTATTTGTTTGCTTCCTCATAAATTTTTGTAGCATTAACAAATATAGACAAAAAAGTTAATCAATTTATCAAGGGTGACAGGTTTTATTAACCAAATAATTTAATTACACCATTAAAATCCTGGAGTAATTTCATGCTGTGTTGTTTTTTTCTTTTCTCTTTCTTTCTTTCTTTCTTTCTTTCTTTCTTTCTTTCTTTCTATCCATCTTAAAAAGAAAGAATAAGAAGAAATTAAGGGAGGTTACGCGTAGAAAAATGAATTCCCGTTTGACGTTTAAATCTTTGTAACAAGGGAAATAACTCTAATGTCATTATGACGAAAAGTAGATTGCTTAGTCATTTTCTAAGCTTCACTTAGTATCGGATTTTTTGTAAGGTAAAAAAAAAAAAAATAGGAAAAAGTGCAAAAAATATATCCTTTTTTACAATGAAAGATATAAAATTATACCTTTTACAGTAAAGGATATAAAATTATACCTTTTACAATAAAAGATATACTTCAAACAAAGAATGCTGTTTTACAATAAAAATATAAAATATGCTGCATGAGGTCCTCAGAAAGTCAAACAACATTATAAAAAATATAGAAAAGTGAAAGGTTTTACTTCTCTGAATGCTTTTCAAGCAATAGGTACAATGTCTGTAGCGACCTTTTTTGATAACAGTGAAGAAACGATATCTCACCAGTCCTTGAATTTACTTAGATGAGGGAGCGGCCTTGATTTTGTTTCAATCCTCGGCTGGAGGTATCAAATTTCTTCTATGTCGTTGTTCTTGACCGGAGTGACCTGGATTCAACCAGCAGCTGAAGATGTCATTTCTTCTTCACTTCGATTCAACTGAATTCTTTTCTTTTATACACCATGACCGGCTCCAGACTGTGTCTCGAGATTTGGAGCGAAGCCCTCTGATTGGTACCGAAATAAATCACACGCCGCTATTTTTCCACAAATCGGAAGGACGCAAATATTTTTTGAAAGTCAATATTTTTAAGCTGGAGACCAAACTGCGTCTTCTTTCTCTCTGAAAGCAGACGATATATGCTCAATCAGCTTAAATTTCTTATAATGCAATATAAGAAATGAAAGAACTGACGTCTAAATTCACCCCCGTCCCTGCCGTACACCAATAGCTTAAGGGTAGAATCTCTGTCTCATACCAAATCAGTCGGGTTGCGATTCCGGCTTGAAGTAATCGGATGTTTAGCCACACTGATGAGCTGCGAAACAGTCCGTCTGTGGATGACAATACATCTTTATGTATATATAGTCAACGACGAAATTATTCGTAGACCCACCAATTTTTATCCATCTCTCAGTATGATGGCAGGTTTTTCTATATCTTAATAAGCACACAAAAAGAAATATATATTTATTATGTATTTGATACATAATTGTGGTACAATGCCAAAGGTGAAGTGGTTTAAGGTTGATCATCATTAGTTATCCTAGTCCGAATTATTTATTACTCCTCACTGATAAATTATGAAATAAAAGTACAATTGTGTTTATTTATTTAAAAAAAAAATAAAACTGGGGATATGTGAAAAAAACCCCAAAAAAAAACAAAACAAAAAAAAACCCCAAGACGTTACGTCTTTTTTCTAAATCTGGAAAACTTTAAAAACTTTTTACGATATTAAAAGAAAAATAACTTGTTTTTGTTTATATACCTTCTGTTTTATTTAAAAAGAAAAACAAAAAACACATTGTACTTTTAATTCATAATTTATCAGTTTTTTTTTTAATATTTATTTCAATTCCAACAAGTGAGGAGTAATGCCACATTAACACTGTTCGTCTTTCAAAGTAAAAAATGCAATCGAATGTCTTAAAATTATTTTGTTTTACGTAGTTGAAGTTATTATTAGCAAGATAGTAGACTAAGAATTAAAAGTCTGATAAAATTAATTTCACTTTTAAAAACTGAAATAAATGTTATCATACTTTAAATTCTGAGTCTATTTTGCTTAATAAAACTTAAACGGTCTAAACAAAAAATAAAACATTGCATTGTTTTACTACCGTGAAAACTTGTAAATTGAAAAAGTGAAAAAATGCCCATTTTTAGACTTTAAATAAAGTTTCTGCACTTAAAAAAATATATTAATTTTCAGGTTTCTTTTAAATTTCCGTTCGATATTTCTTGAAAAAAATTGGAATGCATGTGATATCCTAAAACATTAAAATTATTTCAATTTATTTATCTATCTATTTTATAATTTATGAAAAGTAACGATCCGTATTAAAGCTAGGCCTATGATAAAATAAAAAAAAACAAACAAACAATTGCTTCATTTATTTATTTAACTTTTTATCACTTTGTAGTTCGTAGACATGATCAAGCCCTTTAAAATTCAAATTTCACAACCTTTTCTCACGTCTTGTAAGGGGGCTTTATCCCTACCAGTTGACAGGGCGTTTTGGAGACATTTTTTTTGTTTTTATTGCTGGCTGGCTGGTTTTGAGGCTTCATTTGAATCTTATCTTCTTTCTTATTGTTGTTTTTTTTTTAATTATTGAAATTATGCTATTGTTTTTTTATTTTCTGAAAACTCACCGCGGACCAAAAGTGCTACCGAGGGTGGACCGCAAACTCAGCCCCCACTCCAGTTACACCACTGTGTTGTTCTAATTTACAACAAAGTTAGGTGTACTCATACAAAGGAAAACAGTAGACAAGACCTCAGAATATCTGTAAGGCAATATCCACCATTAAAATTAGCAAACTTTATTTATTTGTTTATACATTAATGCAATTATGAAACTTTTAATAGAAAATATTTGATTTATGGTCATTAATTTTCCACGCATTCTATTCTATGCAAGATCAAATTCTTCTATTTTACTATTTATTATTAATGGTAAGTAAACATACATTAAAGCTGATTTTAGTTAATTAATAATAACCAACAATGTACCAGGAGACAGCGAAAAATTGAAGAATTTCAAAACAAACTTAATTTTAATTAAAAATTGAAATAAAATATCTTTTAAACATTAATCTTTCAGCTTATTTTTTGAGAGCACAATATAGTTTCTCTTTTTGTTGCCATATTTCACAAATTCATGAAAATACTTTCTCAAAACATTTTGCATGCACATTAACTTGCGTACATCCACGTGACTTACTCTCTAAAGATTACGAAAAAGATAAGTTTCGTTAATAATGCGTAAACAATTCAGAAGACATGACGTCATTTATAGGATTTATAAACACGTAAATAAAAAAATGACAATTTGTCACAATTCACTGCGTGAGAAAAGGATAATATTTTTATCTGAAAAAAATAATTGTCAACTTTTCTTCTTTGCTGCTACGAAATAATAATAATAATAATAATAATAATCACGTTGATTATCATTAGTTTTAATTTGTCAAAATCGAATTCGTATATTAAACAGAAATCTCAGCCGAAGTTTTCACTATAACACACTTACTTAATATTTTACCTAGTAAAGATCCGTTTCGAATAATCCATTTCTTTGAGTTTAATCTGATCCCCTCTGTTCGGTCATTTCCTGAAGGAAAAAAAAACATTTGTTCGTTTTAAAGTAAGGGAAAAATGGGCGAGACAAAGAATGAGCAGGAAGAAGTAACGGTGACAGCGGCCGCCGAGAAGACGTCGGCGGTTCCAAATATCTCAATGTCGTACGCCCTTCCACTACACTCAGACATGCTGGCCGAGATGAAAACGGAAGTATTAGAGACATGCATCGTGGCTTGCGAGAAGTTTCCCGAAAACCTGGATGAGGCTGCTTGGTTGATCAAAAGCGAGATGGAAAATAAATTCTGTGGACATTGGCATGTGGTAGTCGGTGAAGCGTTTGGATTCCAAGTGTCTCATGAGATAAGAAAAATACTTTACACATATTTTGGAGGTAACATCGCCATCTTGATTTGGTGCTTGTGAAGCAGAAGGCATAGCAAAAAAAAAAAAAAAAAAGAAGAAGAAGAAAGCAGAGATTAAATAAAGTTATAATAAAAAAAGCAAAAAAGCTGAAATAAAATCTAAATAAATAAAATGCCATTTTGTTAAGGTCTGTTTGTCTATAATAATTAAAAAAAACTAACTTAATCGAACACATTGGAGGTAACAAATGATGTTCGAATTCACAAGAGTAGTAGTAATAGTGTAAACGAACATCACTGAGTCGGCACCTTCATCCCTTGCTGGCTATGATAGTCACTTCTCTGGTTGTGAAGCAGTCCTGTCGCGTTCTTTCGGCTGAATTGGATAGTAACGCTCTGAATACGGTCCATTTTCTTTGATTCCGTTTATTCAATCACCTGTTTTTTTAGGATCAATGATTAGCGAAATTACACGAAAGAAAGACAAAAGTCTCAACTAGTTTTACCTGGCATTTATTTTGCTTTGTACAAAAGTGATCTGCACACTGATCTTATTTGTCAATACAGTGACCAGAATAGTGGAGAAAGGTGTATTTTCTTTGTCTTGACGCCTGGGACAGAGTTGAAACGACACAACAAAACGTATCAAATAAGACACAAAAGCTCATATATCTACTTTATGTTTATTGTTAAAAGATCCTGACTGACGAAAGTCTTTTGTTTTAAAATAGAGTATTCATGTCTATAGACAATATTATTATCAGAGATAACGACGTGAAAGGAGTTAAGTCTATTAGGATTAACTCATTGCCTGGTAAGGAGAGATTCGGGCAACTGACCTGATCGTTTTTCAGTCACTGTTAGAAAAACTAACAGCATTAAAAACAAATAGAATGAACTAAAGAAGAATGGAAATTCGAAGTGGAACCTATTCAGAGAAGCTTTAGTGACACCAGTAAGCGAGATAATCCCAAAGAAAACAAAGTTAAAGGAATGGATGACATATAACATTTTCGACATAATGAAAAGGAGATATCAAACAATGCCAAGTTATGACACAGAATATAGGACATCGCACAAAGAAATTAGGAACGAATGAAATCAGGCAATAGAAGAATAACTCAACGCAAAGTGTGCAGAAATAGAAAGAACGGGCATCACAGATGCAGCAGCAGATATGCAAAAAAAGAATAAGAGAACTAACAGGACAGAAAATACATTCTCATCAACAGGATGCATAAAAATCCAAGGGGGGGGGGAGACACTGATAATAGAGAAAGAAAAAAATACTTCTCTGGTGTATTCGTTCATACACCAGAGAACTCTTCCACGACGAAAGAGGAAAACCCGCAAATATCGAAGGACCAGAAATATTAAAATCTGAAGTGAAATCAACACCAGACAAATTGAAAAGGAACAATGCAGCAAAACCAAAGGGAATTGTAATGCTCGAAGTTTTAGATGATTTCGGCAGTGACAAAATTACAGACGTAATAAATAGAATATACGAGAGTGGGGATATACCGGAAGATCTAAGTAGATGCATTTTCATAGCACTGTCTAAGAAGCCAAGTGTAAACAAATACGAACAATCAGCCTATAACAAAACGTATCATTCAAATTCTGATGAATAGAGCGCGTAGCTTGAATTAGGCCCGAAATAGAGCAAGAACAGTGCGGTTTCGTTAAAGACACTGAAACAAGAAATGCGATATTTATGCTCAGAATAATACCAGAAAGAACAATACAAATGCAAAAGGATGTACACCTATGTCAATGCATTTGATATGGTAAGTCGCGAAGAACTGTTTTAACAGTAAGTGTGATTCATTTGGGAAGAACATTAGAATATCTTAGATATTAGATTAGATAACACATGAGTTCTTCCTAGACACTATGTAAAACGGTTTGGTTGAGCGAATGGCTGGTTCGAAGACATACCACTAAAGGACTATTGTGCCAGACCACTTCGGTCTGGGACAATAGTCCTCTTCTCTCTCTTTCTGCTACATCTTTATATGACTGACTCATCTTGTAGTCAGTCCCTATATTTATCGGAGCACGTTTCTTTCGTGTGTCGGTTTGCCAGTTGATTTGCAATAGTAACAGGATCAAGCTAGAATGGAGATGTTGTATTAAAAGACAACAACATTACTTTAGTGAATATTGGACAAGATCCAACCGAGCATGTGCGGGTAACTTATCTCAATTGTCATTTTTGTAGCGGTGAGTCGATTTTACTTGTTTAATTTGATCCTAATTGTTAAAGCCCTCTTTATGCAATTAATTATTTTAACCTTATCCTTTACTATATTTGTAATTCACATCAATTCGCCTTCTTGTGTCGTCCATCTGAGTAAAAAAAAAGTGAACTAAAATACAAAACAGAAAGAAACATAATCTCTCTTCTCAGTTTCTTCTTGCCAACTATCCTTTCAAAAAAGTCGTTGAGAACGCCTTTTTCCAAAACGCTGGTGTCGATCACGATCGTTCTTTTATTTCTAATAAATCAATGGTTAATGTGAAGTTCGAAATCAACTCCGACTACGGCTGCAAAGAATGCACAATGCCACACGGATTCCTTTCGTGGCGGGTGAACGATGCCTTCTCTCGGTAACTCCTTCGTTACAATATCCATAATTTGTAACTCGCATCAATTCGCCTTCTTGTGTCGTCCATCTTCGGTATTCGTTGGCAAGAGATGCAAATTAGACTTTTTCTAATTACTTAATATGAAATACAGCAATAAAACCAAACTGTATTTGCATGCAACGAAAACAGGATGTTTTTTCAGTTGAAAATCCTATTTTAGTATTCAAGTTTGGTTTTCATAGTCCTTAATAGTAAGTCGCAATTCATTCATTCGTATCCACAGAACATTTTTTATCTTCAATGTTTAAAAGTATTTCTATTCACCTTTTTCTTTCTTTTTTGTTTTAAACTGACTATTGTTTTCTGGTCTTTTAGTGTCCTTTTTTAGAGAGTTCCACATTGATTCTTAGGCACTCGTCTTTCTGCTGCCGCTGCTGCCGCCGTGGCACTCGTCTTTGGCGTCGTCGTCAGCTTAATTGTTCTTTTTCATCCAGATGTTCAGCAATTTATCCTACAACCTAGCCTCCACCGCGCCGTTATATCTTTATCCTCTCAATCCGCTCAACTTCCGTATGCCTGTGTACAAGAGTGGGTTACTGTGGGCGTTTTCCTCTTTTCATCCAAGTTCTTCGTAAAGCTACTGATACCAATATCAACGCCTACTGTAAGTATGACGGCAATCGCATTCAAAGACGAATAGACCATAATATACCTTGTTCGTTCATTCTGCATTGGTCCTTAGTTTTACTTACTTATCCGACAGTTGCTTCGGGTCTATTTGTTTCATAGGGCCTATCAGTTCGGGGATCTCATGAGTGTCCACATGAGGGAAGTAGTTTATCAGAGGGTCCTATATAACAGACCAGTTATTTGCGGTTACGTTAGCCAATGCCGAGTAATTTGTCCCAAACCTTTCCTGTGCCTGATAATAAGAGCAGGGGAGTTATTGCTTTATCAAATATCAGACATACTACAGGTAGTTCTGATATAACTTGCGTCGGTGTTAGTAAGTTTACTATTTCTGTTGATTTTGACTACAGACTTTTGTGAGGTGGAGCCACCGTCCACCCCCCCCGATGGATATGCTTACAGTAATTCCCTTGACCTGGTAGTCTTTTTTTTTTTTTTAATTGCTCCCTGGTCGTTTTCCTTTTTTTTTTCATTTGCACCCAAGGTCTCAGGAATGTTCTCATTAACATCACTATAATTGCTTCAGCTACTTAAGTACTCGCAAACGCCTTTCTTACGGACACACTCATTTATCTGTAATGACCAAAGCGCCTTTTATCTGATACTTTTTTTTATTCAACTCTTAATTCATTTCAAGGACCTTTCACTCTCTCAGATGGCGGTAATCGATCTTTTTTTTTCTCCTATTTCAGTACCGACTTCTATTCGCTTTACCTATCTGGTTATCCACGTACATTTCCTTCCAACATACAATTCTTTTTAATTGTTGCATTACTCAGGTTTTTCTTTTTACCATTTTATTTGTTCGTTTCTTTTTTTCTTTCTCTCAGCCCATCCATCCAAATATCTGCGAACGCATCAGTCTACCTTTCCTTCTATCCTTCATTCTTTGTAATTAAGAGCTTATCGAGTTATTTCCCAATCTATCTTTCCTTCTAGTCGTCAGCTCTGTTTAATTTTTGTCTCACACAATGTAAACCTCATCCGGGCACCCGATTTTACTAAACGCCTACTTTCTTCAACATATTGCTGCACTTGTTAGACATTTAGTCGAGAATATCAGGCGATTTCTAATTCGAGTCTCATTCGTTACAATTATTTACATGTAAATATCCTTGAGAAAGTTATAATTCCATGCACTCATTCTCCCGACTATGGGTTAAATAGTTTGACTTATAGCTGTAAGACTAATTCTTATTCTCAAATAATTTCTAATGCAATATTCACTCGCAAAAATGAATTATTCTTACATTCTAAAATATATTTCACCTTTAAATATCACACAAAGTGTTGATAAACCGTAAAAATTAGTCAGTGCATCCATTCATATGTATTTCTCATTAGAAACATTTTCATTTCTTACACACGGCTCTATTTCATTAATAATCTTTTTTACTCCGTCATTAAGCTAATAAACTGTTAGCGCACGGGAAGTTTAACCCCCTAAAGACACTCGAATTGGTCATACCCGACTGGTACAAACCGATCCAGACACCACGGAGAAAGAATCCACGCCACATTTCACTACCATATCTACTGATTCGCTTCTAGGGACAGCTTTTGCTTCATATGTTTTTCTTATTTTTTAAGTTGGACGAAGTAACTTGTTTCTAGCATTCCTTGTTTACCAGGAGATGTCACCGTTCAATCCAATTCTCATCGATATTTCTTTAATTCCGATTATCCGATTTTATAATGGCTCCTCTCACTACGGTTCCACCTAATAATCCGTTGGCAATTCTGTTTATAAAGCCAACAGTTACAAACATTCATGCGAAATGGAGTATAAGCGGACTACACATTTTTTAATTTAAATTTAAATAACTGTCATATCGTTCAGGTGAGAAACCTTATTTAACGTGACATCCCTGCCTCGCCATCACTACTAACCCAGTGGGTCTTATCAAGTAGTTTGCAATTCAACAGGAACGTGGCCAAATATATACAGTCTCTGCCCAGATTTAGTCTTTCATTTTCTTTTGGCTTTTTGGTATCTTATTTTTCTTTTGCAATTTTTTTAATTGTTCCAAAGTTCAGAAATTTCGAACTACGAAACTAAGCATCTAAACGCCAAAGTAAGGAAAATATTCATTTTTGTTCACATTCGCAATTCAGATCCGCGTATTTTCTATGGGGTTCACCCGTAATCTGACTGTATTTTATCTTTAGAATGAACTGTTAGATTCATAAAGTACATTATGTTTTAATTGGCGATATCAATCAGTTTAAGTTATCCTTTGGAAATACGAGGCGTTACTTGGACAGCAAGAAACTAAAAGAGTTCTACAAGCGAGATATGTGAAAGACAAAACAATTAGAATAGAACTTACAGTTACATATTGCAATTTTAACAGTCAAAAGATGAGACCTAGCTGCCAATCCAGTACTACGCTTAATTTCATGAAGTCGAGGTACCAAAGAGGAAAGCTCATCAGAAGTATTCTCATGAACATATTAATAGAGAAGGCACGGAGAGGCCACATTACGGCGGTGGAAAATGGAAAGATGCTTTGTGAATTTCCTATTCTTTAAAAGTTACAGTAAAATTCACAAAGCATCTTTCCATAAAACCTTTTATGGAAACTTCAAAGAAAGCTTAAGCGTTAATTTGGGTGTCTAAAATTATGTCCCTTTACAGCGTAAAATCTATTTGAATTTTACGTTGTAAGGGCGATAATAAAATCCATTACTTTATTACCTCCCTTGAATCTGTAGCGATTAAACACTGTCTAGTTTCAGATTCTAGTCAAAAAGCCGATAAATTTTGTCTTCGTGTGAGACACAGCATAAAGTATACCTAGTTTCAATAACTTCAGGGCATCATTTCCACTTTGTACTAAAGCTGTTAGGATCAGTGAAAAATCATTCACTCCTTCAGCAATGATCGGAAAATGTTTTGCAACAACTCTTTATACATCTGTGTGGGACATATTGAACTGAGAGTGCGTCGTATTTTCCCTCCTAAGTTAGTTAAATAAATGCCATCGCTTCGTTCAGAATTGTATTTGTAAATTAATAATATTCCAGAGATCACAAAGAAAGTCCAACTCACTTATACAACGGATCAACGAGATCAACTTGGAAAGGTGCATCAAGCTGTGGAGAAGCGTCAGAGGTTCTTTGCAATATTTATCGGAAACTTTGTACTAAACAAACAGAATCAAAGGTATAAACAAATAGTATATGTTTATTTATTTGACTTTTAGTGAAGCTAGTCTTTTGTGGTAGTCAGGAGGTTGGTTATTTTGGAAACTTGCTGTGAACGTCAATCTTCTGTGTTCCCTCTACGGAAAATATCTTGAATAGATGACGGCTTAGTTTCTTCACGCGACAGGCTTGAATTGTTTATTTGGAAGTCCTTTCTCTTGCTGATGTCTACCGGTCTCTTTATACACGCTTAAGAAAGGCTTCAAACTACTTGGTGCAAAGCTTGGTTTCGGCTAACGTCAAAAGTCTCTTTGTGTTTTTGATTGGGCAAAATTCATTCATTTTCCGGCGTTCCTTCTTTTTTTTTCTTTTTTTTTTATAACGGAGCTTATTTTGGTAGATTTCTTGTCCCAATAACTAGACCAATCTTTCATTTCGTAGCCGTTGCTAAGTCTTTTCTTCTTCCTCTTTTTTATCTGAGTGTTGCCTTCTCATTAGTTGAAAGAGAAGTAAAGAGGGAAGGGTAGAAAGACAGAGACAGAGACATATATTGGGTTTTAAAGGAAAGTAAATGCTTTATTTTAATTTGAATTCTTTTTTTATATTTTATTTTTACATTTACACAAGTCCTATATTATTAGGCAAAGTTTAATAAATAAAATAAAAATATTTCTTAAATACCGTGAAAAGTATCATCTACTTATCATCTTCTTAGCACCTCATTAACATCGGCATTCGTAAGGACAAGTCAGTAAGCTGATTTTCTTTCTGAGACCAGATACTTGGCTAAGCAAAACAAGAGATCAAAGACCCTGTACCAAAACGAAGGACAATCCAACATTCACTCGTCGAAATCCTAGACCACTTAATGACCTCAATATAAATCCAGAAAAAAGAGACTCAAGGTAAAGTTTTCTCTACCCTTTCGCCAATAAGCGGGACAGGTTGATTCACACATCTAGCCACCAAATTTAAAAAGACATTATTAGAATTTCTGTGACATATTTGGAAACGAAGGCATTAATGCAAACAAAATAAAAACAATACTGGAGTTTTCATACCCCCACCACCACCACCACCACCAAAGAAACCAAAAACAAAAAGCAAAAACGCATCATAGGTTGGCAGGCTCCTAGCAATGACTTAATTTTTGTGGAGCATATTTCATCGCAACATCTAGCCACCAAATTTAAGAAGACATCATAGAATTTCTGAGACATTTCACATGAACTACAACAACTCCCCCAAAAGAACACAACGCCATTTAAGGCACTCCAGAAACGAAAAACAACTTTAAGCAAAGCATGTAGCTTACTTTGAACCAAATAAGCCAACAGAAATCTCGACGTTGACGATGTTATTACAGAAACAGCGAATGACCCTACCCTCACAGCTGCAATTCGAGCGATCTTCGCTAAGGAATGGAAAACAGAAGACCATAATATCGATCGGTTAATATTCTAAAAACAATGTTCTTATACCAATCTGAACTATCGCTTTGCACATAATGCAACCATCATCATAAAAGTCACTACATAGTCCTTCCAAAGACACTCCAAACACAAGCTATTAAACTGGCATTTACCGCACATGAAGGAATTGTGAAAACAACAGCAGTCCTCCTACGTGAGAAAGTGTTGTTCAAATGAATACAATCTATGGTAGAACATGCTATTAAAAACTGCTACTCCTGCGAAATATTTACAACGATTCCGAGCAGAGAATCCGTCAGAATGACCCCACTTCTTTCAGCTCTATGTTCAGAAATCAGTGCCGCCTTTGGACACCTCCCAAACGATCAGTACATTCTTAGACAAATATTCTTGTTTATAAAATTTTCAACCCCCTTACTAAATCTAAGTTCTTGGACCAAACACAAAAACCTAGTTAGTAGGAATAGAAAGGAAAAGGAAAACTTGTGCTTCTCTTCTCCTTGAGGTTAAAATAGGCGCAAATCAAAAAATAAGACTCAACCACTGCTTAAACTTTTAAAGAAAAAAAAAAAAAACATTTATTAGACAAGTAAAGAAAAAAAGGTACAAATACAAAATTTGCATGCAGTTTCCTTTTGTGCGTCTATTAAGGCAGGATAACAATTTCTAATAAAAAGTGATATCATCGAATATGGGAAAAATTGCGATTTCAGTTTAGAAAAAGACAAAGATTTTGAAAATGATGAAAGAAAAAGCAATTCAAGATGGCAGAAAAAAAGGTGCAACCACCTTTCAGAAAAAGTGAAAACACCTACTTTTACTTGCTCTATGGGCGTTCTTGGGACATATAGTCACGCTAGAAAAGTTCCCTTTAAATTCACACTGCTAGTGCTTAGGAAAATTTCTTTGAATTCTTTTTGTTCTTTATTGTCGAACCGCAGGAGAATTTTCACTTGTGAACTTCTAGGCTCTCTGCAGCTGACTGGTGACTGGTGTCTTCTTGATGCTCTCTTTTTGATGTCAAATACCTTCTGCTCCTTGATATTAATTTTACCTTGTCTCCTTGCTGTCAAAATGTCTTCTCCCCTTATATACTGACCTGAGTTCTATATATTCGGAAAATAGGTTCACAAGGCACCCACCCATCTCTCATTGATTAGTACATACGAAAAAATAATTTTTTATAAACTATAAATGGATCCTTCACACTTTTGGCGGTTTGTAACTGCTGAGCCGAAAAAACATAAACAATTTTTCACACAAACCGTCTGATGTTCATAAAAATACACAACTCTCTCAAAAGAACGTGTACTAAAATCAATCTAGACGCTTAAACATTTATTCAAGACTAACATTTTT